CACCCCCCCCCCCCCCCAACATGCCACCAGCCTACGTGGCAAAACAACTGCCCATCCTGAGCGGTGCTGAGTTGGGGGCCAATCTCAGGGGGGCATGTGCCCCCCCATGCCCTTCCTACCAGTCACCTGTGTATTTTAACATACATAAAGTTTTGATAGACAACTCAAATCACAATTATATTTAATCTGTATCAGAAGAAAACACTAAATACATTTTGATGTGGATGTACAGGATTTATTTCGAACTTAACAATTGTTGTTCACTTTTTTGGTATGTTACTTTAAGAACACTTTGAGTAGTTGTCTGAAGCCATGCTAGATACCTGAGGGCATGAAGATGCATTTATTAATAAGGGAACCTCCCCAGACAATATGCAGAATAGTAAATATTAAATATTTAAATAACTCCATCAATATTTTAAGAGAAGCAGAAATAGAAGTAGAGCTTGTTTATATCTTTTCAACTGTATTTTGTGAAAATTAGTAACTATGTAAACCCCAACAAGGAAACAATTTAAGGATGTCACAATTCTACCTTCCCTATCAGTTGTCTTTTTGCTGAAAATCATATCTTGCAGAATGAGGAGTTTTTAAAGACTTTGCCTACCCAGCTACAGTTTGCAAATTGGCTAGTGGATTAAGTCTCATTGATTGTGTAACTCTTACTTTAATCAGTGAGTGACAACTAGTTCAGCTATTCATTAGGGCTGTGCAAAGCTGTCACTGATTCGATTCAGAGGAGATTTGGCCTGATTTGGCAGCTGAATCTCCAAATCTGAATCAAATCAGGAGACCCATTAAAAGGTCTGAATCAAACCTAAAGCCTCCAAATCGATTCGGAAAAGATTCAGAGAGATTTGGCTTGGCCAGGGAGAGGCAGACACAGCCAAGCAGCTACAGGTTCTCCTGCAGCTCCTCTGGCTGTGCCTGCCTCTGCCTGGGTGGGGAGAGCTGCAGGAGAAGCACCCATGGCTGCCCTGCTTGGCCCCAGCCTCATGACACTTAAAAAGCCCCGCACTCACCAGCTGCATCAGCAGGCATCAGGGCCTCTGAAGGCTCATGGCAGAGCCGCCCCGTGCAGCGTGGGGTAGTGGATGGCAGTGGGGATCACCCCCCTGCCTGGCACCCACACAGCAGCTGTTCTATGGTGTGGGTGCAGCATTGGCTCAGCAGGGTACTGTGCGCTGTTTGGGAGCTGGAGCTGGTGAGGCCCAGTGGTGCTGGGCTTTGGCTGACTGCTGGAGCCACCCCAGCTCCCAGACAGTGCATGACACCCTGCCGAGCTTTGCTGCACCTGTGCAATGTGACAGCTGCTGCATGGGTGCCAGGCAGAGGGGGCAATCCCCGCTGCCCCCCACTGCATGGGGGGCCTCTCTCATGAGCCCTCAGAGGCCCCAATCATTGCTGCTGCAGCTGGTGAATGCAGGACATTTTTTGTTTGTTTGTTTTTAAAGTGCCAGGAGGCTGGGGTTGGGTGGGGGATGGGGCCAGGCAGGGCAGCCATGGGGGCTTCACTTGTGGTTCCCCCCACGGAGGGAGAGGCAGGCACAGCTGGAGGAGCTGTGGGAGAACCTGCAGCCATCCAGCTGCGCCAGCTTCTCCCCGGCTGATCCAAATCTTCAAATCAGCACTGAATCTCCGATTCTGATTTGGCTGAATGAATGGGGACAGTGATTCGAATCTCTGAATCGAATCACTGTCCTCTGCATAAGCCGAATCTGAATCAAATACTTTCCTATTCATACAGGCCTACTATTTATGCGAATAAGTGTTTCCCAGCATGTATCCAGGTTCTAAAATTGCGTGGCAAGTGACTAGCTGCAATAATGGATTCTGGAGGTCTTGTATTTATATAGTGACTCCCTGATGTCTGCTGTTCTTCCAGATCTATGTTGGTTCTGGGGAAGCATCCACTAGAAGCCTGGAAGATGGAATTAATTCCAATTTATCTCAAAGTAAATGGATTACAATTGAGACATGGATCATTTACAGGTTCACAGATAATGTTGGCCATTTCCATGGAAATCATTGATTCATGTGTCTAGAGAGCGAAGAATACAAAGTGATATTGATTTTAAGGCTGAAAAGAGGGTAAATATCTGTAGGCAGTTTTTCATTAATCCAATGTTTTATTTCACTGATTAGTATAATGCAACATCATTCTGAAGCAAGTTACTTGAAAGACAAATCTGCTTTGAAAGTCTTGAAGAACAGTAAAACTTCAGGAAAAAAGCAGGAAAGAATGAGATATTTAAAATCTGATTGAGTGCCTTAAGTGCTTAGGATTTTTAAGATTTTCCTTTTACATGAAACAGGTAAGATTTGTCATGCTGAACAGAAGAAATGAATGAATGGTGCTATTCTGTCTAGCAAATAGATTCAGGACAAGCTTCAGATTCTATTTTCTTAAAAAACTTGCTAGGTCCATGAAATATGACAATCTAGTTTAATAAAGATCTTAGATTTGACAAAAGTGGTGATTTATAGAGATATTTGGATTGTATGTATTTTGAGGACAGTGGATATTGTGTGTGTTTTTGTATCCACCTTTTAAATATACACAGGGAAGGATTTAGAGGGGTATGGCAGTATGATTGCATCCCCCTTTGACTGCGCCACATTCCCAGTGAGCTCAGAGCTCATCAGCATGTCAGCATAGCTTCTACTGGGAGCTCCTTTTGTGCCATTAGCTCTCTGGACTCAGCAGTTGGTTGGTGGGAGTTCTGGCTGAGCTTCTGCTTTCACTCAGCTCTGGAGCCCAAGTGGTGAGCTCAATGCTGTTTCCCTTCCCTTCCCTTCCTTTCCCTTTCTTCCCTCCCTACCTCCCTTCCTCTCCTCCTCCTACCTGTCCCCCCACCCCAGGAAAAAAAGTGGACAAGTGATTGTCTGGGCTCAGGAGCTGTATGAAAGAAGGATTTGAGCACTACAAATGTCACTTGTCCCCTCTTAACTCATTCCCTTTTTTCCCTTGGTGGGGAGGAGAGGGAGAGATAGGAAGGGATAAGAGCAAAGTGCTCACCCCTTAGGCTCTCAAGCTATGCCAAAGCAGAGGCTCCAGCCAAACCCCTTGCTGACCAGCTGTTGAGAGCAGAGATTTCCAAGCTCACTGGCATCCAAGATCATGGTGAATGGAGAGCAGCCACATCCCTTCAGTTGTGTGGCACATGCACAGTAAACTCTCTTCACTGTAAATGTGCTTCACTCTAAAAGGGCCACCCCTACCTTACTGGGATCTTGGATCTGCTCATGAGTCTGAAGGTGCATCAGAAATATGAATCCAGCCAGCAGCTTGCCTCAAAGCCTACCACATTACACGAGTGCAAAATAAACTGTGTCTTGATATCTATATTGCACGCAGCAGTACGGTGTAGAAATACTTTAGTTAACTCATTTAGCACTTCAACCGAATAAACAAAGACAAAACACTGTGCTAGTGCAACTGTACTGCATACAGTGCTTCAGCTGGCTTGGGTTTTTCTACACAGTCCTGTATTTCACATATGCCAAAAGGTGATCCTTTGGATTCAGCTATTAGAAGCCCAGTACTATTGGCATAAATATTTTACACATCTTTGGAAAATTTGGCTAACTTAAATCCTTGTCTTTATGCTATCTGTGTTAATTCAGCCATTGGAGTCAAGTGCCTGGACATTAGAGTTCTCTAAAAAACAGTGAAGCTCTGTGTTATTAACAGAAAAGGACATGTGTTTATACAAACCCTAACAATTTTAAGTACTCCCTTATAAATGCTAAAACTCTTCTATATTTTTTCTGTTTTCTTACTGTACTTTGGTTTTAGTTTTTTTTACTGTCTTAAAAATTTACAGGAACAATATTCTGATTAATATAAATTTCCTAGGTAAGCATTTCTGTTAAAACTAACATGGTCTAGTAGATAGAGAACTGGACTGGAACTTAGAAGACCTTTTCCCAGATTTTCTGTTTGCAGCTGTATGGTTTTGAGCCAGTCACTTAATCTTTCTGTTCCTTTCTTTTCTCCTTCCACCTTTTGTGTCTCTCTTTTATTTAGTCTGTTTTTTTTCTTGCTTTGTGTATTTACTATGCCCCAGGCTGTGGTGAAACTTGATTGTCCTACCAAAACACAAACAAGCAATAAACAGAACATGTAGCTTTATTTGTTTAAAATTCTCATTCAGGTTTATTTCTATCAGAAATAATAAGTGTCACTGCATTACAAAAAACTGAAGAGCAATGAGGAACTTAAATAAAACTGTGACCATTCAGTAATGCACCGCAATATTTCCTATTATCGCTAAAGAGATAGGATATATTTCTTCCTTGTAGCCACAGTCAGCCTTGGTGCACTTTTATCATTAAACCACAAGATAATAAACTCAGAAAGATTGTAAACAAGTGGTGGCATCAGTTATCATGTTGAAGAAAAGTAGGTGGAAGTAACAGAGTATTGGCTTATATAATAGTTTTGCTCTTGCTTAGATTTATGACTTAAAAAACCATTTATCTAACATGGATACCTTGCTAAGACCTTCAGTTACATAGCATTTTGATGTAATTATTAAACTGTATGAAACAATTATTGGGGGGAGAAGAGTAATATTGGGCATCTAGAAATCACTTTATAGTCAAGAACAACAAAAATCCAAAGAGAAAAAAAATGTTTAAAATATATTAGGACACTAAAGGCAAGTGTTACAAAATTCTACATTACAATGACCATTGGCTAGACAAGACTATATCTAGCTTCTATTGTTACTATTAGGGGATGAGGCATGCCAAGAAATTGTAACCTTGTTTTAATTTTTAATTTGAAATCTGTGCTATTTTCTTGCTCTATTAATTAGCAATAATTAGTATAATGCTAGTCTAGAGGGCTTTAAAAATGGATAGTTTGGTATAAAAAAAAATGCTTGGTACCATTGCTCTAAATATCACAGTTTGTAGCTTTGTAACATAAATAATGCCAAAGAAGCAATCTGGATGTTTGAAAGGACACACCGATACATATAAGTATATTGTATGCAATTTCTATGGCAGCAGAAGAACATCACTGGTTTTTTTTTTTTGGTTTTTTGTTTTTTTTTGTTTTTTTGTTTTTTTTACAAGACATGGAAGCCAGTTATAGTCTTGTAACGAGATGGGAGTAGTTGATGCTCTGATGATGATGATGATAATAAAAAACCCCACAAGACAGAGAAGAAATATAATAAAAACACATAAAAGGACATAATTATTTTTACTGTATACTTGGGGGCCATGCAAGTATGGTTTAAAAATAAAAATGCCAAGCTGATGTGTCACCAACAGGGACTGTAACGGTTAAATGCATGGTTCGAAATTCAAAAAAAATAAAACTACTGTCTCTGGGACTTTAAAACTGATACCCATGCATCTTAAGGCTTAACAATTTTATAGGTAAACATATTTACCTGTGGGGTACATCTAGGAACAGAAGGAGGTTGGAAAGCAAGAGTGCCAATAATATCCATTCGAAACATGAGAGATGTTTTCTGTAAATGTGCTTATTTGTAAGTATTCACAGAATATTTTGAGCAAGCAATTTGCAGCTTTTAGATTTTTCCAAAGAATTAATTTGGGTCTGATCCAGAATTGATCTAAGATATAGGAAAGAATACTATTGAGCCAAATAGATTTTTCTTTGTTGGGGGGGGGGGGGGGGGGTTTTTTTAGGAGTTTAAATTAGTTGCTTAAGTTAGATGAGCATCTTTCAGCTCCTGAAGTGAGTGGCTGAAATATTTAAACCTGGAAAATGATGCATGATATTAAGTAGTAGCTATTCTATAGATAATAATATACTTTTAATGAAAAGATTAAAAAGAATGATTCTACTAAAATCCATTGAACTTTCCATGTATCTGACTACTCATAAATAGTGAATGTGGAACCATAACTGAATGGGCATAACATGGACCCCCCAAGATCAGAAGAGCAGGGTTTATTAATTTATTCAGAAATCTTTCTTTTTCAGTGCATGAAAACAGTTTCTACTGAGAGCAAAAGGCAAAGTGGATGATAGCTGTCACTTTCTGTCTATGCTAGACATAAGGGTGGTGAATAAAAGGAACACAGAGGAAAAGGCAGTTTACAGAATAATCTCGTATTTAGCAGGTAAAAATATAATAGCTTCAAGGAATACTGTGGAGGTACACTACTGTATACTGGGTGAGTCCTCACCTATATTATCTTCAATAGGAGTCTTGGTGAAGAGCAATGACAGGAAAGGATCCTAAAACCAGCAAAAGAGGGGAGAAAACACTGAAGAAGAAAATAAGGAAAGATTGAAGTCCTGCAAATGGAAAGTGACAGTGAGAGAGAAAAAAACAACGTTACTTGGTTTAAGAAGTGAGACTGGAAACATGATGCGAGTTGAAAATGTTAATGGCTTTCAGTGGAACTGAACATTTATTTTGCTGTAGTATCCGTAAAAGATAAAATTTCTAAGGAACAGTGAGAGAGATGGTACAATGCATAAGGAATAATTGATCATCACCATTTTCAAATTATACTAAAAATATGAGAATGTGCATTGGATAAATTGGGAGGCAATTAATCATAAGAACATAGGATCCATCTAACTAGAACAGGCTAACATCCAGTTCACTTTACTTCCCTTGACAACATCCAAACTTTTCCCACACGCATCAGTGAGAGATGTACAACTACCATCTAAGAACACCCTGTAATGAGTGTTGGATAAACATCTGAATTGAACATGTTATGAACTTGGGCTAAATACATAACTTTCAGTGTTCTGGTGGGCCCCAAAATGAAAGTGTATAAGGATCCCATTCTTCATACTAGTTCATCAATACATGGTAGAAACAGAATTGTTTTTTTTGTTTTGTTTTGTTTTTTTAAACAGATTATGGGAAGGGGTGTCAGTGGGAACAGGCTTTAAGATCATCTTTTTACCTTAGCACTTAACTTGGCATATCCTTCTTATATGGTAAAGGATAGAAAGGGAATAATTGTGGCATATTGGTTCAGGGTAATAGAAACAGTTGATTACTGAATATAGTAGAGTAACTCCATCCCTTACTGCTGACTGAATACCACCTTTGTGAGGAATTTGGGAAACAACGTTTCACCAAAGCAATACAAGTGTTCCTGAGGAAGTGTTCCTTTTCAGTCATTAAAAATACTGGATCTCTTGCAACCAGTTTATCTAAGTAGCTTGAATAGTTGGTAGATATCTGTATAAACAGTGGGGCATGTCTGGTAGTCCCATTAAATAAATAGTCTGCATTTTCTGTTTTAAATTCATAGAATTTATAAAATTCAGACAAAGGAGAATTTTGTAGATGTGAAAGAGATGGAGGGGAAAAAGACTATTTCATTTCAGTTATAGAAAGGAAGTATATGGGACCTTCCTGCACCCTGGGGACATTAATTCTACTGAAATTAGAAAAAAAACAACATTCTGGCCTAGGCATGGCTGAAAGTAGCCAGTTATATGTAGACTTAAAATGTTTGGTTATGTTTAAAACAAAAGGCAAAATTGTAGCTACCCTTAAATATTATGAGTGTACAAAGATCACCCTCACTGTGCAGGATGGTCCTTGTGCTCCCACTGCTAAAAGTATCTGCTCAGTCTCTGACAGAGTAGAATACATCCCTAGATCGGTGACAGCACCTAAAGGAATAGACCTCTTAGACCTTTCTCTTCTATCATCTAAAGAATCAGACCTCAAACAGTGGATCTGTTCCACAAAGTAAGGGAGATCAAATTCTTGAAGGTCAGCACACTGGTAAACTTCACTTTTTTATAGTGATATGATAGGCTGAGCAGTGATAGCTTATGAGGAGCATGAAACCATAAAGGACCTCCTGGTCCCTGAATCTGATCGATTGCTAACTTGACCTAACTTCATCATTTTGCCCCACTATTCCTGTTGGAAGTGTGTCCTAGAACATCACTGCTCTAACAGTTAGAAACATTCTTCTGATTTCAGCCTAAATTTTTTCATGGTTCATTTGTACTCATTACTTCTTGGGCAAACATTATTCCTTAGCATAAATAGTTCTTCTCATTCCTTTCTGTTTGTGTCCTTGAGGTGTTTATTGAAAGCTGCCCTACCTCCTCTCAGCCTTATTTTTCTAGTCAATTAAACACATGTAGTGAACAAGGTTCTTTGTATAATTTATGTTTCATTTGTCTGTATTGAAGTACTGGCATACCTTTCAATTGTAGTCTTGAAGGAGCTGATCACAAGCACAGAAATGCACCATTTATGGTCCATGTAGCCCTAGCTATTAGGGTAAGGCATGGAATAGCATATTTGAAGCCTAGCATGAAAAGCTCCACACAAAGCTATTTGTAGTGCATAGCAGTAGTCTATTGGTACAAAAACTAGGTGGGAGGGGAGAGTAGTCTAACAGTATGTAACCAAAAGGGAGGGAGAGTGGATTGAACGATCTGAAACAGAGCAGTCAAAACAAGATAATTTTCTGTATGAAAACATGGTCCCTACTGCTGATTTTTGGGGCCAAGTCTCAGTCCTAAAATTTATAGTTAAAATTTTTTTTGATTGTGTCACGGCAGGGTCCTTCAGGAGGGCCGTGATCTCCTTAGGCCCTCTCTCCGTGCCAATTCGGCCCAAGGGCAGCCTCGATTCTCTCCTGCCACGTCTTGCTGGTAAATATAATAGGGAGGCTGCCTTGCGTCTCCTTGGGCATGTAAACTCCTGGACCCCTCATGGGTCTTATCCTGCACCCATGGGTGCCTTGGGGCACCCTAGCCTTATGGGCTATGCGTGGCTCCTACCAACCCCTAATACCACGCCCCAAGCCTCGCTGATGTGCTGGATGTTGGTCTGTCATGATACACGCCTGTTCCCCCGGGCCTCCTCTAATCTAGCCCACCCTTGGGCCTCCCCTGTAATCTAGCCCACTCTGGGCTCTCTCTAATACACAGCCCCTCACTGGGACTCTCGTCAAGCCCACTCCGGGCCTTCTCTAAAAGCGTTGTCCCGCTCAGGGACCCTCTAGCGGGTCTCCAGTCCTTTAGGCCAACCGCACGGCTACCCTCTCTGATCCCGGCTCACCGCACTGCTATCCCCTTCCGTCGGGGACCACCACAGCACCTTGCCTTTCTCCTGGGGCATTGTACTACTAACCCCTTCCGTCGGGGACCATCGCAGCACCCTGCCTCTATCTGAGGGATGTTGCCGCACTAGCTTACAGCCGGGCTCGCTACGCCCGTCTCGGGCTTCCCAATAGTCCCCCTTCTCTGGGACCTTACATGCCCGCGCCGGGTTTCCCCAATAATATTGCCCCCTCTCTGGGGCTCGCTGTGCCCATGCTGGGCTTCCCTAAAGTGTGCTCCCCCTTCCTGGGGCTCGCCATGCCCATGCTTGGGCCTCCTGGTAGTGCCCCCTCCTGGGTCTTGTCGTGCCCGCGCTGGGGCTTCTCAAAATGCCCCTCTCCGGGGCTGGGGTCTACACACCCCGCAAGTTGCACCCTCACTGGCGCTGCAGCTTCACTGGCGCTGGGGCTCCCATACCACTGGGGTTCCCCCTGAGAAACCTGCGCCCTCACTGGCGCTAGGGCCCCTACCCTCTGTGGGTCCCTATGAGGCCTCCTACAATCCCTACAGCCTCACCCAAACCACCAGTGTAATACACAACAACACAAACATAAACTAGAGCCTCCTGGCTATAACTCAGCTCAAAGCCACTGGCTATAATTTAACATTGCTCAACTCTGATCAAGCAGTACTTGCTGTGAGGCTTCTCTCCTCATCCTAACTCCCGGAGGTCCTGGCCCTCTGGCTGCTGGCAGGGAACTGCCAGCCTGGCCTCAGCCCTGGGCTTTATAAGGGCCAGGCCCTGCCTCCTACAGGCAGCTGGCTCTCCTTAGCTGCTCCGGCAACCCGCAGCTGTGCTCATTACCCTGGCAACCCTCATCTGGGCTCGTTGTGTCCTGCCAGGGCTCTCTCTCCCTGGCAGTTTCTACTCCCTAGGAGCAGGCACCAAGGTGCCCTGCGACAGATTGTTTTTAAGGAATTCTGGGATCTGTGTCACTGGGAACTGGAGTTTCAAAGGTATGTAGGTACCTAAGATATAGATACATACTCACTGGGATTTTCAAAAAGACCTGGACAGGTCATATTCCCAACTCCTGCTGTAATAATTTTATTTATTAACTGTTTTCATATATATGGACATGGAACCCTTCTATAAATATACAGCTTACATTTATGTACTTCAGAAATCAGTATTCTTCTGGAAAAATAAATCTATGAAAGACGGTAATCAGCAATGAAGAGGGGAGAAAAATGCACTCATGGCGAGAAGTAATGTAGGAGTATCTCTGCCAGGATTAATATGTTTCATTGAATGGGAAAGTGAAGTTTAATTAAATTAATGATCAAAAACTATATTTGCTGCTAGAAAATGAAATAATGCATAATATAGAGCTGCAAACTTATTGAACTTGTTTGTTAAAAGGCTTGCATCTCTACCACACTGGATTTCTGCTTGGTGCATCAGAAAGTAGAAACCCCCATGATTCCTTGATCTTGAGGGCAGTTCTATGCCTGGCTCAATCCAGCCATTGTGTAAATCCTGCTGGTACCTGTTTTTACTTATATCACCTAGCTCTCCCCTCCCACTATTTTTCTCCTTGTGATGAGCTCTCAGTATTATCCTCATAAATTTTTGAGTTAAATTTAACTTGAATTGTGAAAGGCAGCATTATATGATGAAGAGGAAACAAAGTGCTTTCACTATGTTGTTATAGTTGATCATCTGCCAGAGTTCTCAGAAGTACTTTTTAACCAATAAGTTTCTATCTATCTATCTATCTATACATATATAATTTTTTTGTCCTTTTTTAAATATTTGATGTTGCAGACTTTTAGTATTGAGGACAATAATCAAAGGAACTGAAGAGAGTGAATGAAAATCTGTCTCTACAATGATAAGCTAAGCTCAATAATGAGACTTTTTAAGTAAATAACATGAATATATAACTAATGCAATGAAAGAGTGGGGCCCATTTGGCAGAGGCACTTATCTAAAATCAGTTGAATGACAATCCAATTTGGTTTTCTTGTGAATAAACCCTTCCATTTTCCCTTCCTCCCTACTATACGAACTGTGGGCATACCCTGATCCTATAGAAACACTGTTAAAGGAGATTTAAAAAACAAACAAACAATAACAAAAACAACAAAAACCCTTACTGCTCTCACAGGCTGTGTCCACACAAGCGTGGACATTTGGTTCCCTGGGGACAACTAGCGATGGTGCATTTTGTGCTGCTGCTAGCTGTCCTCAGGGAATGGCTGTGACATGCACCCTCTGGAGCTCAGCAGGCTACCTTGGGTGGGGTAGGAGAGGCTGGGGCCAGCCCAGTGCTGCCCCCAGTGGCCTTACCTCCCAGGGTAAGCCTGGGGCCTCCCAGGGCTGCAGCAGCAGCAGTCCTGCTGCTTGGAGTCTGGCTGGCAGCTGGAACATGGCTCCAGCTGGCCCAGCTCCAGTTTTAAGAAGTGCATGCTACCCCTGTCCATGTTGCTTGATTCTTTGTATCTGAAATTGCACTCAGACATTCAAATCTACAAAAAGTGTGTATGACAGTACTAATAATTTTGATTAGTAGGTTTAAGACAATGTTACAATGGATTTATGTCAAGTGCATGGCTATGAAGAATAAAGCCCATTGAGTTACGACCATATTGCATTGCTGAGAGGCAGTTGTTTCTAAAGAAATGGGGAAAGAGGGTATGGTCCCCAGAGTCAAGTTATTCAGGTCTGGAAATTTTGCATTGGGAAGGCCCAAAGCAATTAACGCTGCCAACTCTCCCCCACCACTAAATTTTTGGAGTCATGGGGAGCTGCAAGAGAT